TTCAATATCCAAATTTACCATGAATAAAAAACATTTCAATTCATTTTAGAAATCAATTCTTAAATAAGAATTGCCAGATCCTTGAGTCAAATCTTCACTATGAAAGACAAAGATTAAAAAGAAGAAGAAAGCCAGGCGTGGTGGCACATGGCTATAATCCCAGAACTCAAGAGGCTGAGGCAGGAGGATTGCTACAAGTTTAAGGCCAGCCTGGGCTACAAAGTGCGTTCAAGGCCAGCCTGAACTGCAGAGCAAAACCCTGTCTCAAAAAAAAAAAAAAAAACAAAAAACAAAAAGAAGAGGAATATAACAATAATGAAATAACTTAAGAAAACAATTTTAAAAGTTACTAAACCTTTAAAGAGAGATGAAAGAGTCTATGAATACATTTCACAATTTAAAACAGGAAGATTCATAACACAAAAAAAGAAAAGCAGAGGTCTTAAAAATTAAAAATAGAGAAGCCAAGCATGGTAGCACACACCTGTAATCCCAGCACTCTGAAGGCTGAGGCAGGAGAATCACAGGTTCAGACCCGGGCAAACATCTTAGAAAGACCCTGTCTCAAAATAAAAAATAAAAAGGGCTAGGGATGTAGCTCAGTACAAAAGCTTTGAGTTCTATCCCCAGTACTCTCCACACACACACTAAATTAAAAATAGAAAGATATAAAAATATGTGAGGAGAACTGGTAGATGAATTTCAGGAAATCTTTAACAAGATAGAAAAGATACACTTGAAAATCCATTTCAGGGGAACCAATATCAAAACAATAGGCACTAGAGGATGAGGGGGAGGGAGGAAAGAGGGAAAGACAGAGAGACAGAGACAGAGAGACAGACAGAAGAAGGAGCGGGGAGACAAGGGCAGTAAGGAGAGGAGAGGAAATTAGGAGAATAAAATTCAAGAAAAAAGTTCTAAGTAATGAATACAAGTATCTAGGTTGAAAGCAGCCATCAGCTGCCTAGGAATAGGTTAAAATAGACCCATACCAAACCTTGTCAAAACTCCAAGACAAAGAGAAGTTCTTTAAGCTTTCAGAGAAAGAGAGAGAGAGAGAGGGAGGGAAGGAAGGAAGGAGAGACAGGAGGGGGGGAGAGCAGAGAGAGAGAGACAGACAGACAGACAGACAGTCGGCGATATAGCTCAGTGGCACAAGTGCAAGGTCCTGAGTTAGATTCCCAGTATCAAGAAAAAAAAAAGTGTGTGAGAGAGAGGACAGTACTGGTACAGGGAATGTTGTATACAGAAGTATCAAGGATTAGGGTGCCATTAGTTCATTAGTTTTCTCAAAAAATACAAGGGGTTTCTACATAACTACACTAGTCATACAAACATAATAAAGAAAATTGGTAACATTCCTATTTTAAAAAAATAATTATAGTGAACTTCTTTTAACGATAATTGAGTAGGAAACTACTAATTACCCAAAAAGGAGGATGTAATAATAAGAGAATAAGAGGCTGAAGCCATTTAAATTCATTTTTTATTTATCAAGTGTGTCTTGAGTATCTACTTTTTACCAACAGTTTTAAAAGGTGAGGGCATAGTGAAAACAAAGCAGAGACATGATCTTTGCCCTCATAAGGCATGTGGTAGAAATGTTTAAATGATATGCATCTACCTAATTAAACATTACATAGCCACTAAAATATATTGAACAGCAACATAGTATATATTTAAAATAAAATGTGAGGCAAAAAGAAAGCATACTGTCATCAAACATGATAGTGAAGTCCTAACCCTGAAAACAGTGTGCTAGAATGGCAGAATGATGAATGCATTTTTCTTTTTTCAAAAATCTCTGCAATTTTACATTGTGTTTTCAAACAGTCAACGGAAGCGTCAACATTGCCTCTTTAAAACTGTATGCCAAGTATTTTATTTAGAAAATTTGCTGTCATTTATAATATACTTCTATTCTCTGAAATCTGTACATATCTTAGTCCTTTACAGTATGTTCAAAGATTTTCCATGTAAATTCAGGTGCCATCTAGGAAATTCTTGTAAGAAGAAATATTATTTTTCTTTTTCTTAAAATAAAGCATGAAAAATTGCCCGCTTCTGGTGGGGAAAACAGAGTCACATGATTAATTTTTATTACAGGCTCATTCTTTCTCTCCACCCATGCAGAGAAATGAGGGTATCAGAAGGAAGATCCAGAATCAGAGGCTAGAAAAGCCAATTAAACTTTCCCTGCTAATTAGCTCTGTGAGCCTCTAAGCAGGGAGAAGAGACTGCCCGCCTATCACTGAAGCAGAGAAGAGTGCTCTTACTGGCCGTGTAAGAACAGTTGATGCCATAGTTTCCATTAAGGACACTTCATTATTCCCAGCAGATGAAGGAATAATAACACCAGTGACCTTACTGAGGTGCTTTCTGGGGTGACAATGGAAACTCATGTTAGCACTATGTTTGTGTCAAACCTCAGATTTCAAGAATCTCCATGAGTTACTACATAAAAATTCCTTTTGTACTGAAAAGAAATAAAGAAAACTTTTTTTGGACCAGCTACTTAGAGGAAACCCAGGACTTAGGTCTGAGAAAAGTCCCTCAGCTCCCCAGAGATCTGACACCTCAGGAAGCCTGGAAATGAATGTTCTAATCACTCCTTGGGATGAGTCACGTTCTGTTGTGAGGTTTTGCATGTTCAAGTGTGCTAGGAAAGATATAGCATCAAAGTGTCATGTAAGATCAATCAGCTTACACACTTTATTTTCAGGGTAGCGTTTGACTGTTTAAGTATTTTTAAATTTAAAAGGAGAAAAGCTAAATGCAATAAAGTTGCCTGGATGAGATTTGGGGACAGGAAAAGACTTTATAGAAAATTCATGAGTCTAAATAAAGTATGGTGTTCAGTCAATACCATCTACCAATGTTGGCTCATTAGTTGTGACAAATGTACCATAGTAATGTAAGATGTTTGCCATTGGGGAATATAAGTGTGGGGTAGATGTGAACTCTCTGTACTACTTTTGTAACATTTTTGTGACCTAAAACTACTCTAAAATAAAAGTTTATTAAAAACTAAGGAACTTTTATTTCAGTTTCAGATAAATCACAACTTTGGTAAAAGCCTAGTGTCCCAACACATGACAGTAACTAAGCAACAACCAATATCAAATGTCAAATGTCAGTCTAATTATAGCACCTGATATTTTCAGGGGTAGGGAAAAACCACAAATGTCGGAACTTCAAAATATGTAAAATCTTAAAGCACAAAACTAATAGGACAGCAATATTTAAATGAGATATTGTGAAAATTAGGACGCCATTGTAATTTCTTTTGTGAGGAACTGATTTTGTGAAAGCAGTGATTTATTGTAACTGCAGTTTGCAAAATGGATTGAAGTTGGGAAGAGATTTGAGATAAGAGGATCAGCAAAGAGTCAACAATTGTAGTATGAAATTGAAATTCCAAGACTAAAACTCTAAAATGAAATGTATGGCCAGGATTTCAAGCAACACTATTCTTAGCACCACATACAACCTGTCCTGGGTGCCTAACAGACAGAGCCTGTTGTGGAGACCAGCATATCGGGAGATCTTCTCCTGACACAGTGAGGTAGTTGAATGACAGAGCTATTTCAGATCCTCTTTTCCAAGTCCAAGCCCTCCTGGCAACTCATGGTCAGTACTGTCTGGTCACCCGTGCTTATCCTGTGGAGGCCCCATACTTGCTTCTGGTCAAGCTGCTGCATCTGTGCTTTTTTTTATTGATAACCCAAGTTAATAAGTTTAAAAATTATCAAGAAATCATTTCAAATTTACAAAAGCTACATATAGAATACCGTATTATGTAGTATGTTGGAAAGCATTTATTCTTTTTTTATTTTAAAAATAAAAGGAGGAAAACATGAACAGACAGACAACCTTTTACAAAGTAGCAAAAGAACATTACAGACAGTACGGAGTTACAAACAAAGTGGTAGGAAATTAACAATGCTTGTTGTATTACATGTTGATATCTTCAAAGTGGTTTCTCATGAAAACAGAGACATGCAGTACTGATCAATCAAGGACTCATTAACAGTTTCTTCAGCAGAGAAATAGAAGACAGTAGATTAACTATGTTAACTATCCTGTATATACATACATGCAAACTTTCTCCTTCTTTCCCTTCTCTTTTCCCACATCCCAGTTGCCTTTACCCTTGAGTGTTTTCCTATCATTTCGCAATGTCTGTCATACCTCCTAGTTTAAATTAACTCTTGGAAAGCATTTATTCTATCCCATTTTTCCATCTGCATGTTCTCTTTCTCCCTCCTCCCCCTCCTCCTCTTCTTCCTCCTTTTGAATCACTTGGGAATAAGGTCCACGCTCTGTAGTCCTTTACCCTTAAATACTTCACCATATATTTCTTAAGGAAATCCTTTATAGAACCCCAGAATTATTATTTTCATTTACTCAGTCACTGCATGAATTGAACTGAACTGTGCAAACAAAACAGGTCCTGGCTTGACTTGTCCCACTGCCAAATGAATTACAAGAATGAAATTTCAAACTTTCATCTTTAGGCCTTTGAGGGTAGGACAGAGTCAGAGTTTTCAGACAGCTTCAAATTTGGTTCATGTGTTCATCTCAGTTTGGCTGTCATAAAAACCTTTGGTCAAGAAATAATACGGATATCAATAATAACATTCCTTACTATGTGTCAGACACTATTCTAAGCATTTGTATTTACTAATGAATTTAATCCTTACAATAACCTTAAAGGGCTATACCATGATTATCCTCATTTTATACAGAGGGAAATGTTGGCTTAGAAGTTAATATCTTGTCCATAAATACATAGTTGATAAGGGGGATTTGAACTCCGTCTTTCTCAGATACACTTTTTATTTCTCTTCTCTCTCTCTGTACATTTAGCCTTCTTGCATTTCATAATGTTTTCTCTAAAGATTATCCCATGTTACTTGTTTCTCATTATCGATTGCTTCTCACTGCCTCTTGTTCCCCAGGAGAGAAGCACTCATTCTCTTGATGTGTTTATTTTTCAGCTGAGGAAAAGGTGACTGGTCTCATGGGCCCGGAAGAATGGACTCCGAGGAGGCTGTTTACACGTTCTCCCACTCGCCAGCTGTTAAGCGTCTGCAGGCGCAGAGCAGGATCTGGTTACTTCAATGGAAGCATGCGACGAGGTTCCCCAAGCACCAATAGCCACGTGGATTTGCTGCAGTGGGGCTGTCTAATAAATGATTCATCAGAAGTATTTGATAATAATCTGTCCTTGAGCAGTGTCATCAAACTTAATGTTGTTTTCTCTTCTAGACATGCGCAAGTGTAAGAGGTTCCCTCTGCTTCTTGTCTAGTGCCAGCGTTGGCCTGAAGTTTAATCCGCAATTCTCTGCTTTCAGGCTAGACTTGTCCTTTTTGCGCTATTTATAGAGCTGATAAGGGTTAATAACTACTATTTATTGAGGGCTTGTTATTTGAAGCATTATGATGCTGCTCTACATACATTTAATCCTTATAATATCCCTGTAAATTTGTGCATGATATCTCCTGTTTGTCCATGAAGCGATGGAGGCTCAGAGAGGTTGTGTGCTGTGGTAAGATCACACAGCTGCCAGGGATAAGATTCAAATCTAAGTCTAACTCTACAGCCCCTCTGCAATAATACTTTACTCTGCTCCTTATTGCTCCAGAGATAGTATCATCACAGCATCATTCTTGTACAGCATTCCTCTGTAATGTCTTAAGAGTGGGGTGAGGATGGTGGTGTGTGTGCATAGAAGTGTCTTGGAGGGAGGATCAGGGAAACACTAAAGGTTGCTGAAGAATCACGGAATTATTTTCTAAGCAAAATCACACTTCATGTTATGTGGCCTGTGAGTCAAACCCAGCCCCCTCCATCTGTTTTTGTAAATAATGTTTTACGAAAAAAAAATAGCCACACTTAATCCTTTACAAACTGTCCTATGGCTGCATTCTTTCTATGATGGCAGGTTTTGCATAATTGTGACCCAGACCACATGCCCCTTTTAGAAAATGCGTGCTAACCATGATTAAATGATTTTGGAAGAGAGTTGACAGTTTTAAGAACAATGTATTATTTTTTCTATTTGACTCAAAAACTACATAAAGATTAGCAATGCTTACATTCCTGATGGGGAACCTTTCAGAGCTTTCAATGGTAACAGACACCCACTGTGGCATGCGTGTCATAGGTTCGCCACCACAGGCTGAGGTGCTCACTGGTAAGGGTGGTAGTGGTTGGGTGTGTTGGGGGAATTCAGCCAGGGAAAGGAAGGGGCAAGGCGTAGAAGGACCTGTGCATCTGGGTAACCAGGCAACTCCTCACCCCAGACTCCTCCCACTCATGTCATTCCTAGCCTTCCTGCCAAACTGTGTCCTCAAATAGCTCTTTGTTCACAAACATGGAAGTGGCTTCCCACGTACAACATGCTCAACTCCCAGCAACACCTTGGCCTAGAATTCAAAGGTCGTTACAATCTAACCTCTGCCAGTCTCTCTCCTCACCTCCTTTTTAACTTTATTTTCCCACAGGAAATCATGCCAAATTTGAGTTTATATTCTTAAAGCCAATTTATTTGTATTTGATTCACTTTTATGAAAAGTAAATATATATTCTTATAGGTGTTTATCTTAGTTTGTCAGGGCTGTTATAACAAAATATATACTCTAGATTGTATAACTTATAGTCAACAGTAACTTACTTCTCACAGTTCGAGACAGTGGGAAGTCCAAGATCAAGTTGCTGGCGGCAAATTCAATGTCTGGCCAGGAGCTGTTCTTTGCTTGATCGACAGCACCTTCTCAGTGTAATCTCACATGGTAGGAGCTGCAAGGTTGTCCCTCTGAGGCTCTTTGTCCCTATACTTACATGAGGGCTCTGCCTCCATGACCTGGTCACCTCTCAAAGGCCCACTTCCTAATCCCATCACGTTAGAGCTTAGAATTTTCCACAAATGAACTCTGGGGAGCGGGACACAAATATTGAGACCATAGCAGTTGTATCTGGCAACAGGATACCAGGCTTGGCTTTCCAACATGATACCGCTTCACCTAAGCTGAAAAAATTATATGTGCATTATTTACTTTTTTACAGGTGTTATCAATTGAATTTAGCAATGAAGAAGTTTAGCTATTTAAAAAATTATAATATGATAAGCTTTTATCCAAATGGCTCTGTATTTTTCATAAAGATAACCTTTGTGGCTGAAGAATATTCCATTTCCTGTGTGTCCTAAGTTTTCTTTATTTGATTTTAATTTTTATTAGTACATGTTTATAGTACGTAATGATTACATTTGTGGTGGGGAGTTGGTACATATAGATAACTCATTTTAATTAAGTTATCTCCCCCTTTCCCTCCCTAAAGTTTTCATAAAACTTCTCCATTATTTGACCATTGAAGGTTTCCTTCTCCGTTCATTTCTCCATTCATTTCTCCAGCATCTGTCACAGGAAAGTATCTCCCAACCTGTTAGATGTCAGGTATGCCGAGTTCATGTCTCCCAATACCAAAGAGTGGATTCGAGGACAAAGGAGGTTAAAAGTAGGAAAGTTGTATTGAGGGAAAGCTCCTCAGAGATGGGAGGGTCCTGAACGTTGGTTGCTATTGAGGCTTTTTGTCCAAGGATAATTTGTTCAACAAAATCACAACTTAGGTAGCCATGGGTCAAACTACAATCAGCATACAGGTTTACAAACACAGTCACTTCGCTAATAATGACTGCTTAGCCAATAGGGAAGCGAAGCGTGCAGCAAGGGTGTATGGTGAGCATCATTAGCTTTAGCTTATCTATATTGTAACTTCTAATGTAGAAAGAATAAAGAGTTCCTTGAAAGGGACAGGAGTAGGGGTGAGGGTATTGTGGTCACCCGTCTGTCCATCTGATGCACTATCTGGGCTCACTGGACCCGGTGGTGCTAATTGAAGTATAATTTTAAGCTACCATTTATCTCTCGGGAGGCATTCAAGCCTGGCCATCATGTGCCCACCTTGTGGCCTGGATCTCTTCAAATTCACCTCCAGCCACAGTGTCGTTGTGTCTCGCCTTCGGCCCTGACTCTCTTGAAGGCCTGATCCTCTCTGACTGCCTGTTAATTTCTATCAACCTAGCTGTCTACAATATTACTTCCATTCCTTGGAATTGTACTTTCCCTGGTTTCCTGTTTTTTTGCTCAGGCTGTTTCTTGGCTTGGAAAGAATACTGTGCTCCCTTCCTGTCTGTCGTTAGGTCAAGGTGTAGCCTATGGGCTGGAAAGAAATGGGCTACATTATCTAAGCAACGAAGTTTACACCCTTGTCTTACATGCTACCCTTCTGGCGTGTCCTGTGCTCACCTTCTGCACTCCAAATGTTTCTCACGCACAAGTACAGACTGACCTTCAGAAGGAGGAATGGCGTTCAAGCAGCTTATTTTCTCAGAAATCCTGACCAGCTACCATCATAATCTAACAGCAAAGGCACTCCAGTATCAAAGTACTTACCGACACTATTACTTCCAGATGCTGCACCTAGAAGAATGGCTTATTTTGGAAACAAAAATAATAGCCAGCACATATTACATATTTTCTGTGTGTCAGGCATTATTCTGATGACTTTGCATAGTTCAGTCACTTATCGTTCTCACAACACTATTGAGTCGATACTGTTAATGCACTTACTGCAGGTGAGAAAACTGAAGCAAAAAGAGGTTAACAAATTGCCCAAGAACACAAAGCTAGTGAGTGGGCCCTGAATTCAAATAATCTGGCAACGGAGTCTGGGTGCTTAAGCAGTGTGTATAGTTAGATATTATGGCTTAATCTCCCTACTCTCGACCTGGCCTACATTATTTTCGAGCATATACAGAAGGAGAAGGGCTGCTGAGCAACGTTCTTACAAGAAACAGCGAACCTATTCCTCTGTGCCGCAGAGACCTGGCTGCTGGCCAGCGTTTGATCTGGCCAGGGGAAGTTTCCTTTCAGGAGATGGACCGCAGATCACTTTACTTTGTTCATGGTCATTCCCCAAACATGACAAGTCCAGGAGCACATCCAGGTCCAAACCAGACTATGCTGCAAAGGCTCTGCCTTTCACACCTTACTCATCTCAGGGTCCCCAGTGCCTAGGACAAAGCCAGCCAACACACACAGGGAAGATACTGTGAAAACAGTAATGTCACAGGGCCGGGCTTCAGTTACTGACTCTGTCATGCTCTCTCCCCAGGGAGCAGTGGGGTCTCCTGCAGGGGACCACGTGGCAGTGAGGGGAGGGAAAATTCAGAGAGCCTGGCAAAGGTGAATACAAATTCAGCGTCAAGTCAGAAAGGAAATGAATGGTTATTGGCCTGTGATTTACAGAATGAGTTCTGAACTCTTGAAGTTGATGTTAAAGGTATCTCTACCAGGGTACTTTCAGTACTTAAATCTTTCCATGATAGCTCTGCTAAGCAAATCCCCAGCCTCTGCTTGGATTCCTGCAGAGATAGGGATCTTCCTAGCACCCTGTTCTACTTCCCTGTGGCTCTGTTAGAAAATAAGACATTTTTGTTGAGTGGAGTCTTCCTGTAGCTTTCACAGTTGCACTTATTCATCTGTACATTGTAGAGAACACAACACCCTCAGGAGATCTGAAGTCAGTCATTATAAACTCCCTGTGTTCCTTCAGGCTAAATATGCACAAGCGCGGTAATTCTGTCTTTTCTCACTTTCCGGCCCTTCAGCAGTCAGGCTTTTGTCCACTGACTGTTTCCCACTTGGCTGAGAGCTCTTTAAGAATGGAACTGGACCACCCACTTCAGGGCAGACCACCATTAACCAGAAAGGAGACTATCTATAATAAGTGCCAAGTCCAAAATACAGTACTCTCACTTGTAGGGGTTCCAAGGATTTGGGGTGAGTTTGTTTTTTTTAGGCAGAAGAGGACAGGAAACAGAATTAGTTATGTTTCTATGGTTGGGAAGAGATGATATTTTTTCAATGCTTACTGCATGATAGGTACTGTGCCAAACACTGACTGAATTATTTCATTAAATCTACTCAGTGACACTTGTAAGTGCTAGAGTTATAATCCCTATTTCTCATCTAAATAAACTAAGGCTCAGCGATGCCTCTGGGTTTTCTCAAACTGGGTGCTGTATATTAACACCGGGGCCAGATATTAGCAGGGAACAATGGGTAAAGACTGGGACATCACCAACGGGCAGCATCTGGCTAGTGTTATGCTTCAGAAACACCACATATAGCAGTGAAGGGGAGGCAGGGTGAAAATAAACCTGTAAGTCTCCAGATACCCAAAGTGACGATGAGCCATGCAAAGTCGGCACTGAAACATATGATGTGTAGGGGAGAAGGAGTAGTAACAGCTACTACTTGTTAAATGCCTACTAAACCAGGCACTCCAAATACATAGTCTCCTTCAGTCCTCACAACAACCCTAAAAGGGGATTATGATTGCTATGTTAGAGATGAGGAAATTGAGACTTAGCGAGGATAAGTGACACTGACAGCTATATAGCTGATGAGCAGCAGTGTCAGGATTGAATACAGACAGCTTTCTGCTTGTGGAAGACTGCTGGGGACACGGAAGAGAAGGGAATTTCTCTCCCATGAGAAGGGGATGGCAACTCAGGGCTAAGGCAATGCCTTTCCTCAGAAAGGACGGAATACCGAGTTCTGGACGTACACTTCGTCTGACATTAACAGTGCTAACTATGAGGCTACCTTGACTTAAGAGTTTCCTCACAAGAGGTTCATGGAAGCCCAGCAACCTCAACTAGATAACGATCTGATTAGATACGTTATTTCAGAACCTGAAACCTAAGGCTTGAAACACGTTTTATTCCTCTGTAGTTCCTATTTTCCTTTTTTAAACAATTTGCTTTCTCTTGGTCCAGTGGTTCCTATGTGTCTGTCTGCGTCACAGTCAGCTGGGGGACCGGTGACAACAGAGTATTGAATCCTACTCCCCAACCTTCATAATTCAGCAGGTTGGCGATGAGGCCGGAGAATTTGCATTTCTGACACATTAGCAAGTGATAACAATGCAGCTTGTCCAAAGGTCAGTTTAAGAACGAATGCTTTATTTTATTAGTAAAACTACTTTTGAAATTTTCAACTTGACTTGGGTGTGAAAAAAGTACAGAAAAGGTAAAGGACCTGCCTATAGGCCAGAGGTACTGGAAGAAGTTGGGGTGCAGATTTATTGTTCAGTTTGTTGAGTGACTGTGGTACCCGTATCCTCTGGAGAAGAGGGAGATCACAGCCCAAAGGAAGGAGCCAGTCCTGATGGGAAAGAGGGGAAGCAAAGGGTCCAGGATGAGCTGGGCCAGGGGGCTGGACTGGTCGAGGAACCAGAGATCTGGTGGTGAGGGCAGAGATCTGAGCAGGGCAGAAGTCAAATGGGGTAGAGCTGTTGTCAAAAGTAGCAGACTTCGGGCTGAGCCGACGGGAAAGAACTAGAGGAGTTAGAGGCAAGGAGCCAGGAGCGAGCTCCTAGGGTGTGGGTCTGGCGATCACATTTCAGCTGTGACTCACTGTCTTCAAAAAGCCTCTTTCTTCCTCTTGCTGTGGAAGAGGTGGCTGTCAGTCATAAAGTGATGAGGAGCTGTCCTCTGACAAGGAGGGAGGTGAAGTCCTTGCAGAAAAAAAAAAAAAAAAAAAAGGAGGGAACAGGATCAAATGCTCTTTCCTTCCTTGTGTGGTCTAGGTGTAAAGAAGGGCAGCCCGGTGGTTCGACTTCTGCTGTTCTCCAGTCCCAGGCTGTGCCATCTTCCTGGGAAGCAGGCTGCAGTGCACAGATGTGCCCGAGGCAGCAGCAGTGGGGCAGCAGCTCGGCACTTACCTACACCCACTGCTCCTAACGGAATTGAAGGGGCCTGGACAGGAGGGTTTTTCTCTTGGTAGCAAGAAAGTGAACAACTCTGTAAAACTGCCTACCACTCCTTTCAGCTGGCAGCAGCAAAACTGTGCATAGGCTTTTCCCAGACTTCCTACCTAGCCTGATTGAAACTCTTATTTTCCTTATTGTGCACTTTATCCCGTTTCTTGGACATCTTTGTTCAGTTTATTTAAAAAAAGAATTTATTGAATGCACACTGTGTGCCAGGCCCTGTCCTGGGAATACAGATGGGTAAAGGAAGTCCTGGCCCTGTAAATCATAGTATAGTTGGGAAAACTCATAAGCGAGATAATCACAGCACTGTAGATGAACACTGTTTCTCAAACATAGAGCTCA